CTATCAATGAACTGAGCAGCAGCGTGATCCGACCCCATATTGAATCACCCTCCAATTGAAGAGTTTCATTACGATACATTCTTTCTGAAACATATTATTGTCATCAGCAAAAACAAAACGTTCATTCCCAAACATATCTCCTATTCTTTTTTCTATCATGTTTACGATTAAACACTTTTATAAAACAACTAATACATGATGTTTTAAAAAAGTATTGTACTATAAAGTTGAATAAATAATACTCAAAGGTATCAAAATGTTACAACATAAAAAGTTAATAGTGCGAAAACTATAGTTATTCTTACACTACACAATTAATTTCGGAGAAACGAAAATATTATTATTCCTCACATTTTCCACGAATGTTTCGATGCCACCTATTTGACATGTTAGCACTAATTTTTTAAACTAAATTTATGAATTTAAAAATACGGGAAAATGCGAAATTAAATAAACCGGAAAGCAATGTTAATCCAACCTTACATGAAAGTGATCGAAATTAAAATGGAATTTTCGCGGTTTTTGTGCAATTGATATATTGAGGCGGCGTGTCTCCCAGCACGAAAACTTCCGACGCGAACGCACAACGATGTTTGAAAAGTCACGGAAGATAATACGAGAATTGGGAGATTTCGGTGATGCGGCTCGTTTTTTCCTTTATTCTTTTTTTTTTTTTTGATTTCTTGATATGCATTCGTCATTTTTGATGATTACTTCATTTTACTACATCTCCATAAGAATTTATTTTTGCATAACACCCACCCACGCACGCATATATTGCACCTCCTCCTATAAACATAATCAGAGCTATTCATGAATTCCTGCATATATCGATATATGTATCCTAACTACTCATCCATAAGCATCAAGTCTGCTCAACTATACATAATACGCTTACGTATTGAACGTAGATCTCACGAATAAAATTGAGCTGGTAAACGAATACGTATGCGTTGTCATTCTTAATTCTTTCTCCATTAATCAAATCGTTAGTAATATGCTTGATAATTAATGCATTTATAATATTTCTGAAATGTTACTTTTAATGTTTTCATTTCTGATATCGTGCATGTTTGTTTGTCTGATAGTTTAATATTAGTAACTGATAAGCTTTATTTTTCAAAGCTTTAAATGAGTAACACGACGATGTTTGTGGACGATATGGAGGATGAGGCAAGAAATGAGAATTTGGTAAGAGATTACCTATTGCATCAGCTCCAATTGAATTTATTACATGCTCAATGGCATGACAAAACGCATGATGAAGCTGGTTAGTTATTTATTTTTTAAATATTATTTTCACCGTTTTAAAGTTGATGTAAGAGATTAGTTGAGGTTCTGAAATCGCTTGTTTTCTCATCAGTTTGTGAAAAAATGAACGAGGATTAAAGAATTACAAGACATATTTATGGAAAAATCAAAAAAAAAACTAAGAAACTAACAAGCTGATTAAAAAGAACTATTATAAGTCCTTAAAGTTTAATCTATATTGATCTAATTGGTCCAATAGTTTGTGAGATACTTGTTGTATTTGAATATCCAGTGTTTTTTTGATATTTTAGGAATGAGCAACTTTATGGCTGTTCCAGATTTCCCGAGCTAATCTGTTTTTCGAGAAGTTAAGATCAATAATTACTATTGTGAAAATATCGTTTTTAATGATTTATCTACTTTTTTAGTTGAAGAATTAATGGAAGCTAAAAGAATAATGCAGGAAATGGAAGATGATGTTGTGAAGAAATTCGTTGCTTTAAATAAACAATATGAACAGATTAATGGCAAGTTATTAACATATTCAGTTGTATAATGGCCTTTTGTCTTATTTTAATAGAATTTGGATAGAAAGTCAAGATAATTTTTTTCCGTTGGATTTTCAGAAATAATAGACCCGGAAAAAGTGCGCGAACTGGATGACTATCAAAAATTGGTACTTTTCTTCGAAGCTTTCTTTTCTAGTATATTTGACTTAGCAGTTTTGCTTCCCGAATTTTGACTAACGTTAGAATTATCCAAATGGTTTTTTTTTTACAAAAAACGTTTCATGATTTCTATAGTAAAAACGTCTTTCAGTTAAAAGAAATTGAACATTTATCAATTAAGCGACAGACTACTTTGTATAAATTCAATGGTGACGCAAAAGCGTATTTGACAAATCACCAAGCTCTAGCAGTAAGTTTTGATGCTGTTTTTGTATGTCATGTTTTGCCATGATATACTAAATTCCGATTATTATATAATGTATTTTCTTTTTTGGAATAGTTTTATGAAATTCTTGCTTGTTGATTGAGTAATCGTAAAAAAAATATATGATTTACGATCACTCAATTATTGCTACTATATCTCCCAGCGAAATATTTTAGTGAATTTATATAAAAAGTTTAAAAGGAGATGATTATTGAAAATAATTGATTACTGAAAAACTGTAATTTATAGGAACGGTTGTCACAGCTTAAAGAAGAAGTCAAAAATCAGCAAGAAAAAATTGCCGTGCTAAATTCCCATATATCGGAAATTGACTCTAAATTACGATCGGTTTAGCTATTTGTTTCTTGCATTTGGTAATAAATTTATGTACAGAAAGTATTATGGAGTCTTGTTTACTTTTTTTTCATTCCTTACATAAAGAAAGAGATAATTTTTACATCACTCAATCACTGCTATTGCATGTCCCAGTGTCTATGTTTAACTTGGTGAATTTGTATGAAAAAACTATGTTCATCTTCAGTATATCATCGTAAATACTCGAATTCCCTCTCAAAGCTTTATAATTCAGTTAAATATTTTATTGATTTTTATAAACGGAGCGAAATTCATTATTATTATATATAATAAAAAACTATGTTTAGAACAATATGAACATTGTTGCTAAATATCGATCAATTCACATGAACAAACAAAATTTTGCATGGTTTATTCGATATAAACATTCGGTAACAATGACGATGATTCTGTGGATGCGGTTGGTGTTGTCGTTCCGACGTGGAGTAATACCGATCGACTCCTGGAATAAGTGGCCATAGCAGCTGATGTTGATGTAGCTCCATCCGTGAATATTGTTTGTTTAGATAGCATTGTCCTAGTCTCTTCCCAGTCATAAATATCATCCCATTTCACATTCGCTTCAAGCATTAACTGGAATTAAAAAAGAATGTGTTGGGCATCTTGGAAGAAGTCGAAGAACTGAACTGATGAATCAATCGGCACGTCCAATGAGTAATCTTCAGTAGGATCTGTTAATCTTCCTATCTGAGGTGAATTATGTTATTACTAAAGTTATAGGTCAACAAGTCTTCACTGAATGTCTAAGATGCAATAATGGTTGGTTTACTGCGATACTTGACATAATCATTTTTTTTCTTTGAATTCATAGTTCAGAATCAGGACAATGTGTACGATTGACTTGAGCAAGTTTCATATTATATATTTTCATCCAAGTTTTAGTGCTATCGCTAATTTTATACACTCATTCCTATGAATTTAACTTTTTCTAAGATTCCAGATAGCCTTTAATGAAAACTGCTCATTTAAAGCAAGAAACATTAACTTTTTCAAACATGTACTGGATTTGTTCATATGGTGGATTAGCTTCAAAGCCAAGTCCATCAATCATCATGAATATGTAATCAAGAATGGGAAGTGAATTTCTGAAGAACTTCTTCCGTTCATCGCCGAATCGAATCCGTAATTTAGCTCGATATACTTGTTCTTTCAATTGACTCTTCTTTTCTTTCATCTCTTCAATGTAAACAAGTTAAATTGAAATTAGAATTTAATACTAGAAAGCAAAAACGAAGCAAATGTTTTTTTTACTAGAATTGATTAAGTTATTGTTATATGTATATATATGTATAAGTGAAAAATGAAATGGTAGAATTCGTTTAGACAAGAGAAACTTAGAGTCGAAAATAAGCTAAAGATTGCTAGATAAATGGATAATTCATCAGAAATGATAACTGATATTGAAAATATTTCGATTTTAAATTATGGATAGTACGAGTAATATCCATTAGAATTTTCATTCAATTTCATTTTGTATTTCAATTATTCAGTTTCTTTTTAGCTTCAATAAAGATGCCTATAAGCGACGATTACTGAAGTATTTTTTCCATTTAAATCTTGACTGATGAGCTCGTAGTGTCATTATCAATACTGTTCATTACATTGATTGTTGCGTGTTATGTACGATTTGCACACTATGAAAGTATATTTCAGAATTTATTTTAGATTTGAAATAAATTCAAAAAAAGCAAAATTTACTCTTCGGTGTTCTCCATGGTAAAGTACCACTGGATAATTCAACCATAACATATAGCCATGATTCCAAATCATCTCGTCGACCTCGAATAAAATAATGCAAATTATCATTTAATCTAAAAATTCGACAAATTTGATGGATGAAAGGAAGGACAAACCAAGTTCAAGTTTTTGATGTGCTCGCAGTGAAGCATATCGTGTTGTTCCACGAAAAATCGAATGATGTTGTGTTGGTAAGATCGATCCATCCTGCAATTTTCAGCTAATAATATCTAATAATATTAAAAGTGAAAATTTTGGTAATAAATAAATTTTACATTAAGCCACGTAAAAAGCACTAAGTAAATTTCACCAAGTCTCTGAAAATCTTGATTTTAAACTAAATGTGAGAAAATCGAAATTCAAAGTTTTAACAGTGCACCTGATTTCTATAGAATCGAGAGAGTCCGAAATCAAAAATATAAATATTCCTGCGTTCCTTGTTAATACCCAATGCAAAATTACTTGGCTTAATGTCTCTAGAATTTGTATTTTGATCGGAAAATAAAATTTTATATGTCAAAAATTACCCACTTTCATATAAAATATTTATATTTCAGGGAATGAAATGTTTGAAGAAAATTAGCAACGAAAGTTTTTTTTTTTGTGATCATAACTAAACATGCAAGCAAATGAAGTCAGAAAAGTGGTTGCAGCTTTAAGAAAATCAGATGATGCATTTGAGAGAAATGAAAATTAGTCATACAGGTTTGTTTGGTAAAATGCAAATGAAAATATCATATCACTGTGTTTTTTAAGATTAAAAACTCTTAAAAGAATTTATTTTGAAGAATATATTCGGTTTTCTGCGAAATTAAAATAAAATTGGTTTACTTTTTTATTTTTATTGAATAAAAAATCTTAAAAGAGAATAAAATAATTAATTAACCTGGAAATAACGGAAATTTCATGAAGTTCTCGAATTGCAGAAAGCGTCAATAATCCGATACGAATCGAAGTATTTACAGAAAAATTCTTTGTTTTTGTTTCATGTCGCAGTTTTGACAAATCTTTACCGAGTAACGTCATTACCACAAATACGTAATCATCTTGTCTTCCCTATGATTTCGAAAGTTTAACGAGCAATTAGAATGGAATTTTGTCAGTCATTGATGAAATTGATAATAGTCGTTTTTCTTATTTTTCCTTTTTCTCGCATATTTTTTTGAAATTCAATTTATAGTTTGATTAAATAATCGCGACTTTGCATAATGCAATCTACTTTTCAACATGCTACCAAATCATTTCTCCGACATATTAAAAACTTCTCAAATTTAAATAACTGTATATTCAAGTCTTCATGTAATCAATGAATAGTTTGTATGTGCACAACTTAAATTTCAGTTAAAAACTTACATCATCAACATATTTGCAAATTTGTTTACAATCACATTCATTTGCTCTCTTCAATACTTCAATCTCTTTAGGAATTTTCGTTCGCAATACATTTTCTCTTTTCAATGCGTAAATTCTGAGCAAACAATAGGAATTGAAAAAATGCCATGAAAGCTAATTTTAATATTTTAATTTTTTTTTTGAATAGTAGTTATAGTAATGAATAGATTAGTAAATGTCATCGCAAGATCACATAATAATCATTGACCTGTTTACTAATGAATAGCCTAACATAATAAAAGTGATTAACTTGGACTACGTTTGACTCGTAATCGTTAGTGTAAACATACGTTGTAAAATATACCAATATTTCCACTATATTTCCACTTAAATTTGATGCTATTAAAAATTAAACAAAGGTCAATAGGTCACTGAGATTGCAAATACACGTACATGCATTACATGATATATGAAAGCTTTCAAAAATGCATCAAAAGTAGCTTTTCAAAATAGGGCAATAAATAAATAAACGGATATTAAGAAATAAATTAATAAATTTATTTAAACTTTTTAGTAGTTTCAGACACGCATTCATAAACTTCTCCATAACCACCTTTTCCCAAATATTTCACCAATCGATACACTCTCGAATTCATCGAAACAACAAACTCATTCTTCTCCATGGTTATATCACATTTCTTATCTATTCTCTGAAACATTTAAATAACTAATGAAAATTATTTAGTACTTGAATGATTAAAATTAGCTCAATGATCAGTAAAATAAATATTTTTATCACACAAACAATCATTTTATTAATTTATTTTTATTTTTGGAGTAATTTTACTTTTGTACAAGCAAACATGCAAAAGCTCACATGTGTCAGTCATTAATTAATTAACTAATTACTGCACTTTATTCTCTAATTTTTCCATGTTATAATAAAGATCACACAGATGAATTACTGTTATCCTTAAAGGAATGATTGAACCTTTTTAATGGGGCTGTTATTTGCACTGAAGTTGTCTTTTCTCTGATTATCTTTGTCAGTTATCGGATTGCTAATGGCTTCCATTTCAAATATGAATAATTATATTTATTTTTTCCGTACTAAATATATGATAAAAAATATCTCCATGAAGGTAATTTATTGAATCAAAAAGCTAATTTGATTGAGAAAATGAGAAAGAAAAAGGATAGCTGGAAAAAAAAGTAAATTAGTAAAGCAATTCGTCTATTCGGCAAATTCTTATTTAGAAAAATTAAACAAATAATTGGTCAATTAATTCCATTAATATTTTTATTAACATCAGGAAAATTTCATAAATTTGACCATTTTAATGAAAGATTTTCAATTGTTTCTACCTTTTAACTATTCAGTCGTAGCAAATTTTTAGTCAAAATGATAGCTCAAGAAAGAACCAACCTTCCATAGGCTTAATCAAATATAAGAAATAATTAAATCATGTTGAAATAAGCTAATTTATAGTGTACAAATTATTCGAGCAACATTTCACATGCCTATTTAGGATTGTCTGATTGGAAATCTCACGGTTAAATTTTTCATTATATTCAAATTGCTCTCGAAATTGAGGCGCTTTCACACTGTATTTGTTTACATGATTACGCTTTGATATTTCATGTTTGATAAGCAGCTTACAGTTAGTTTTTCAGATATTTCAATTTAATTTATATGAAATGTTTATTTATTATGAAATGTTTTTTATTTCAATTTAATTTATATGAAATGTTTATTTGCATGCTTTAGTGTTTGCAGTTTGCAGGAAAACTCTTAATGCATCAAAATACATTTCGAAGTACTTTCTTTACATTGGAATAGTTGCAATAAAATGAAGAATGCCCTTTGAACTTCAAAGATTAATGTTAATGAGGAGAAAAAATTTGCGTAGCGCGTTAGTGGTACAACGATATTTCACGGTTTGACGCAAATGATTTAGAATCGATCGAGTGGGTCGAAGGGTACGTTGCAGGCGATCTGGATGTTTCGGGGTGTGTGTGTGTGTGTGTGTGTGTGTGTGTGTGTG